GGGAAAGAAATATTATAAAAATCCTTTTAGTATTCACATCAATAAGTGAGGCACAGGCCTTATGATGGCTGTATTCCCTGTGTGTGTCCAAGTAAAGGATTTTAACTTTACACTAAAAATATTTTCAACCCAAAACACTTTCCTTCTACATGCCAAGTCCCTTTGGATTATGTTTATCACGCTGTAGTCTTTGGCTATAGCATATATATAGGGCATCCTATTTCTGACCTGGCCCCATTTTCTTCAGCCAAAATCAATAACCACAACTATATTTTCCTTTAGCTCTGTGAGTCAGACTGCCTCTGAAGTAACAGAAGTGCTTTCCTACTCTGGGAGAGTGTATTTGTTTGAGAAGCACTGGAATAATGCTAAGTCTCCACACCAAGCCTCAGGCCCGTTCAGATGTTGCAAAGTCACAGAGGGCTCCCTAGAAATATGTATTTTATAATTCCAGCGTAAAGGAAGTAAGTTTTTCATGGAAGTGAGAACTTAAAGTGCCAATGCCTCTTCTGCAGGCACCTTGGTTCCTGAGGACACACAGGGATTTAACACCAAATCAAAGAAATGGGCCAAAAGTTCCTCCCCATCTCCTTGTAGACCACGTGCTGCTGCTCTCCTGCTTGGAGCAGGAACCCAACACAACCAGTGGCCCTCAAAGCCATAATCTCCTTTTTTACTTACTATGATAGCCACCCCTGCTCTTTCAGCTGGTATAGGCGAAGAGAATACCTCAGATAAGGAAAAAATCTGGGATCAGGTTCCTCCAAGGATGGTGCCGCCATGGGACTCCCAGCTGCAGAAGGGGCTGCTCCCTGGGCTTGGGCTGGCTTTGGGGAAGGACCAAGTCGCACAGGGTTTTGTGGGGTCCATGCTCTGCCATGGGACACCCAAACTAGCCAGGTGAGGAAGGGGCATCCCTGAAAACTTGGGTCTCCCTAAGGACAGCCATGCCAGCTCACAGCCCTGGTGGCAGCCCAAGCCGTGCAACCCCATTGTGGCACCTGGGGGAGGTATGGCATTGCTGTAGCTTCGCAGGCACCCTGCAGAACCAGCTCGGAGGGAGGGCTGCAACCCAAATATCTCATCCACAGGTAGCTGGGAGGTGGCTGTGTCTGGCCATGCCTTAATTCTGCTTTCCTAAGCAGCCAAGTGTGTATTGGCCTTCTATTGAAGGCCTCTATTGGCCTTCACTGCATGTCTCCCTGGGAACATGGCATTTCTGCACCTCCTCCAGCTACTGAAGGTGATGTGGTGTTTGTGTACCCAGAGAGCAACTTCTTCTCATTTTACTAAGGATTTTGCTTTCACAGAAAGCAAGGATAGCTCTACCATGTCTTTGGACATCCGAGTGACAAAGGGCAATAAGGTATGCTGCAAAGGATGTGTGGGAGGAGAAGCTAGATAAACTTCAGTCATGCTGTCAAGTATTTGTAGTGTTACATGTTACTACAGCAGAAACAGAAAGTAAAGCAGCTGTCTTTCTATTAATAATCAGAGCGAGGGATTTAAACACGTATGCAAAATTGCTATTTGAGATCCATTTTCTACTAAAGCCAAATCCTCTCAGTCTGGCCCCTCGGCAGTGCAAAAATCCCAAAAGCAGTACTCCTTACAACTAAGATCACTCCATCGCTTTTATCTGCTGTGATTTTGTAGTACATATGTTTGAAAGGCTGCTAAGGCAGTGAAGAATTGCCAAGGGATAACTGAACCACAAAGGCTGTAGTAATAAAGGAGGACAGAGCAAAATTGAAGCTATAATTCCAAGATTTCCTTGTTATGTGGGAATGTAAGCAAATTTTAATACTACGTTAACATAGTCCTGGTCTAATTTGTTTTTCGCTACAGCTTGTCGCTGAGAGCATTCTTTTGTGTTTCACTCAGTAGGAGGCAGCTGAAAATAAGTTGTTAAATAGCAGAAAAAAAGACTTTTGAAGGACTGCTTTTTCTATGCCACCACCATAGTGGGTTCTTTATTCCTGCTCCAGGAATAAAAATGTCTGGTCAAATGGTTGAACATGTTTAATACAGCGCATTCTCCTGATAGTCTAGCTGACTGGCCTACACCTAACTGTACCAAATATTTGATACCACTGTATTAAAAGTATATTTTAAGCTTTGAGAATGATATTTTACATGACACACTCATTGCAGTCCAGAGAAGCTGCACATGCAGGAGTTGGATTCGTATCTGATCAACTCAATAGAAATATATCTATGTATGTATGTATATGTATAAAATTGAGAAACCACATCAATGCTATAACTATAAAAATGTATACGTCAGTGAACCACATGGATTTCTTTTGTGTATAAGCAATAATAATAAAAAAAATTAACATGAAACTATTAAAGATACAACCAACTCTTAATTAGCAACGGATGGCTTATTTAAGATGCAGCATAGCTGTACTCCAGAGACCCTAGAATTGTGCATAGCTGGTCCAGCAGGGTTTAGTGTTTCAAACACAGAGACCTCTCATACCCGGCTGCATTACATCCATGCTTAGCTCAGGTCTAGAGGTTTGCAATTTTGGGCCTTTCTGGGTCGTTACCAGACCAGAGTTAAGCTAGTCTCAGGGGGGGTCCCTCAGTTTTCTCTCTTCACCAATGTCTTTTATTATATGGATGATCCTTTTATATAGGGTATCTCAATTCTGTATTGCTTCAGCTAAGAACAGACAGAAACCTTGCCTTTTGTATGTTAGGTGTTTAAAGGGATGTCAAAATACACCAAGAAAAAAAAAGAGAAGGGTTGGGAATAGACGAATACATTCAAAAAGGGGAAGGAGCTGTATTGTTCATTGGTGTTTTCTGTGCCTGTCATCATGGCTCACTGTTGTTACCCTTAACAAAAAGGCATGGTTGCATCTATATTGTCCCTACACATACCTCTGCATATTTAACAATTTTTGATCCATTTCTAGACATGAACTGCTGGAAGAAGCTCGGAGAAAGGGTTTGCCTTTTGCACAGTGGGATGGGCCTACAGTGGTTGCCTGGCTGGAGGTAAGTGTTGGCCATAACTTGGAAACATGAGTCACGTTTGTAGGCTGCTTCTGTATGCTCATCCTTACAAATTCTAAAAGAGTCTGTTAAAGTCTCCTCCACTCTCCCCTGCACACTGTGCCATGAGCAGATTTTGACACTGGATGGTGTAAATCAGAGACTACAGCCGAAAAAAGTAAGACAGGATTACAGGGGATGAGGACAGGAAAAAAGGGTTATCAAATGCACTTGAACCCCAAAGTTCTGAAATCTTATAATTTCTCAATCTCTAATATCTAGGAAGTCCACAGGCAGTTTATGTAGGATGATGTGCTAAGGAGAAAACAAAAATTAGCTATCAAATTTTATTTGAGGTTAACACAAAAGCTACACCTTCAGAATTTTCAATAAATTTAAAGAATTTGTAACTTTCTATCTTTTTAAAATATAATGGGAAAGGGCTGATTTACCTAGATATCACTCAGAACAGTAAGAAAAGATGTCCGTCTTGGCACTTTCACCTGGGATATGCGAGATCTGGGTTGAAATCTCTCTGATTTGACAGGCAGTGCCTTCATCTCTGAAATCTAATCTGCAGAGCTCTCCTTTATTTGGAGAGCCTAAATGAATGGATTTTGGAACCCATCCAGAGAAACATTCAGAAAAGCTGTCCATCAATTTTGACAAAAATCAATGAGTGTTTTAGATGAAGGAACTATTCAAAAAATACTTACCCAGATGCTGAGGGGAGGAGAAGGCAGAAAGTAAGGATGCTCTTATACAAATACACAGTCACTTTTACGTGGCAAGGCTGTATCAGTTCAGTGCAGATACAAGCGCTTTGTCGGCTCAAGGAACAGGTGTCTATTCCTTGTCTATACGAAGCGTCTCTATGTATTCCGACCTATTCTCATGTCTGCTGTGGGTATCATCCATTGATCATCAGGTAGAATTTGTAGAGTTTTTCCCTTCAATTAAAAAATAAGGTCCCCCTCCAAAGCTTTAACAGGAGCATGTTCAGGGATTAAATGAAGGATGAGGAATGAAAGCAGCTAATGTCTACAAAATTTCTGCTTCATGTTGGAATTGCTGAAGGTACCTAATGAAAAAGATGAAATGAAAACTGCAGAAAGCCAGTTCAAGCGTTTGCACCTGACCTTGGAAAACAGGACGATATCTTTCTTCCAAAAAATATCTCTCTTAATATGGAACATTCATTAATTTGGCCACTACCTGACTTTTTCGTATGACTTTGAGAGTTCTGTAGCCAGATTTGTATCAGTCAGAAATATTCAATATTACAGTCAAAGCTAATTTGCTGGAAAGGTGAACATACAAAGGTCTATACATTTCTGAATATTGAGAAAAATCTGCCCTTGGCGTCCTCCAGGGTGATCCAAAATTTGAAGACATTTCTGACAAGTTAAGGCCTTATCTTTTTTTGCCTTGATTCTTAGCTGCAAAATAGGATATGCTTCCCACTGTCTCAGAGAGGGGCTGTAAAGAGAAATTGATGTCTATGAACTTCTTGGGAAATATGATGAGAGTAGCACAGAAAAGCCCATGAGGAAGTTTATGTTGCAGTATTCAATGCAGATCGAATACTGGTGATAAAAAGACATGAGGGCAAAAGTACTGAATTTATTCAGTGAGCATCAGTGCACGCAGTCAGCAGATGGATGCTGTGTGCATTTCATACTCTCCTGGGGAAAATATAATATGTGACCCTTGGACTAAAAAACAAAATTAATATTAAAGGAGACAAAGGCCCAAATTAAAGAACAGTGATTGCAGTTGTGACATTTCCAAACTTTTCAGGGCTTGACTTTTCAGCCTTAGCATTTATTCTGGTCATTTGTATGTACTACAGACATAGTTGAGATATATTTTAAGAACTGTGGGTTTTCTTAACTAATTCTGGAAAAGTACATCAGTCTTGATACCTGGGTTCTCTGCCTAGAACAATTACTGTGCCCTCTTTTTAGAGACTGTTTTCATCTAACTGCATTTTCTGGTAGAGACAGCTGTTTGTTAACAAACTAATTTACCTATTTTTTTAAAGAACTAATTTACCTAATGAGAGGCAAACATTTGAATGTATTTCTGCAGGGTGAATAACTCCCGGTATTTACGCTTTCTCGCTTTTCAAGTGCATGTATGAAAAAAATTAATGTCAAATTAAATGAGAATACTAAATACATTTTAAAGCTATGTGTAGTTTCCTCATGGCCCTTTGTTTAAGTGCAGCTGGGTGTAATCTACGTAATTTTTTTTTTTTTTTAAATTTTCATGAAACTTTGTATTTCATTACAGTTAGTTGGAATTAGATAATATTTGTAAGGTTCAGATTAGCATTGGATGGGGGGCAGTGGCTCATCCCATCAGTGGGAAGAGCTTTTTGAAACATGATGCAGTCGTTCCTCAAGCCCTGTGATACATCAGGAGTCAGTACAGAAAAGCCTGTCTGAGCTCTTTTGGAATCTGACATTCAAGTCTGTTTTCTGTGTGACATAAAAGTGATCTAACAGTTGTCTTTTAAGTAAATATGTCCCAGATAAGGTATTAGACTTGTTAATAACCACACAGTACTTCCCTGAACTGTGAGAAATTAAATAAAAATCCTTTCAGTTTGTCTCTGCTTTCCAGATTTGCTGCTGAATTTACTGATGGCATATTTTTAATAATTTCTTTGACCTTGTGTCCTCTTTTAGTAAGCCATTATAAGAGAAAAAAATAAAATCTTGAAATCAGCTAATTCTGCTGACCTATTTGAGATGCACAGGGCGATAGAGTTCTCGATTACTTCGCTTACAGTCACAGATTCTCTATCTCACTGAAATTCAAACACAGATAGCTGTTAATTGCCATCTACCCAGAATTAATTAAAAAAATCTGAAAATGTAGAACGTAATGGCTACTATCACTTAGAATCACTGCATTGTATGCTGATGGACAGTTTTCTATTTCAGAAACAGTAGAATAGAATAAGGTGCTACTACAAGCCATTAGTAACATTTGAAAAGTGCTTTTGACAATTTATATTTGAAGGAATGTTATATAGCAGTACAGTGAAGTACAACAGATCTATACTTAACAAAATTAGGTAGCTGTATAAATGTGTATATTAATTTTATGTATACAGAAGTACGTACACTCAGATAGATTAAAGGTTAAGTAGTGAAGGGCGATTTATGCACTTCGACACTCAGTGTCACAAAATCTAGAATATTAGCTGTTTTGCTGCCCAGTGGAAATCTTTTGTTATACATTATGCTTCTTCATCCCAGTGGGGAGAGCTATGTATTAAAAAAAGTAGTTCACAGCGATGTGCGATAGTGATCTGGAAGAGGGTGAGGAGAGAGGGCAGGGAAGGGCTACTCTCCAGAGAGAAGTATCTTCTTCTCTCAGGTTTCACAGAGCCTAGCAGTCTCCTGGAGTTAAGCACCTAGTGAGGTATGTCTTTGTTTTCCATTGTGTTATCCCCAAAATGTCAGTGATTATGGCATTCACTGCTTATATCCTTCTCACACTTTTCTCTGTAGCGTAATGTATTTCACGCTGTGACAAAAACTTCCCGCATATATGTATCCCTGCTATGGAATTATCTACTTTGGGAGCAAAGATCTGTAGACACCGATAATCATATTAATGAGGCAGCACAAAATGAGAAAGCTGAGAAAAGCTAGAAGAATTCATACTCAGTAGGTCCCATGAAAGACTGCTAGGAGTAGAGAGTACCTCTTACAAGAAAAGAGTAAAACTGGTGAAGCAAGGGGCTGTTGCTGACCTAGGCTAGTAAGACTAAAATAAGGAGAGGAAAAGCACGAAGTGGCAAGTACATATCTTCTAAATCCACAGGTGATGTAGCTGTGCTTACATTTCGCTGCAACTTCTAACCTGTATTTCTAGCTGGGATATGACACAATACCGGACCGTTCCCAAATTTACAGTAAGCTCAGTCCTCAGTAGGTTGGTTATCTGCACTGTGCTTGGTTTATTTCTACCAAGAAAATAAAAGCTGAGAAGTGTGAGATTGTGCCCTGTGAGTACACTGTGGGGACTAACATGGAAAGAGAGAGAAAGCCATTTTAGTACAAAAGTGAAAAAATTATTTAATCAATTCCTCTTAGATCGTTTTCCATATATGATAAGACTATCAAATAGGCAGTAACACTGACTTGTGCCACTACTTGCTCATTAAAGGCCGGGGAAAGGAGTAGCCCAGGTGATGGAGGCACATAGCTCTAAAAATAATTCAAAGCATCTCTTGCTTTAAAGTTCTGGTTACAATAAAAGCAACAAAAAGAGTTCACATCAAGCCATGGCAATTTCAAAGGTTCTGAAACAATTTCATTCTATTAAAGACTATGATAGTCATACTCATTTGTGTGTATTACCATGCTTATTCAGATTGATAGGTGCCTTGACGATTAATTTCATTTGAGCAATGATGCAATGCTTTGGCTGAATGTGTCCTTTCTCTCAACAGCTCTGGCTAGGCATGCCAGCCTGGTATGTTGCTGCCTGCCGGGCCAACGTGAAGAGCGGAGCTATTATGTCTGCTTTGTCTGATACTGAGATTCAAAGAGAAATTGGAATCAGCAATCCTCTTCATCGCTTAAAGCTCCGATTAGCAATCCAGGAGATGGTATCACTGACAAGTCCATCAGCACCTCCAACATCCAGAACAGTGAGTCCTGTTCAGCTAACTTTTTCTTCCCCACTTCCCCCTGCAGGAGTCTGCAGAAAGACTTTTGTAGTACGAGAGTGGCTCTGTGGTAACACACACTTCACAATCAGTGGGAACTGTCCTACAGAGGCTTAGAAGGACCTGTTCATCACTTGCTTGATTGTTGCTCGCTGATATTTTTCCTTTAGCAGATATTCTTTTTTTTTTTAAGTCGTGCTTTTGATTAACCTTGGTGTTATCTAAATGATCAGTATTGAGCATCTTATTTGTAATTTTGCCTGTATTTTTGCCTTTCTCTTCCTTCAAGTCATCTCTCCCAACCAAATCAGATTGTGTTTCTCTTTTTTGTTTGTTTGTTTCTTTTTTTTTTTTTTTTTGCGGGGCGGGGGGGGCGGGGAAGGCAGGAAAGGGGAGAGGTTGTGTAGGAACACAGCTCTTTTGAATCTTGTTCCCATTCCCCTTTTTTGCGTCCTTTCAAATGTTATCTGATCTGAGTCAGCTGGCTTTAGGTTCTTCATGCTTTTATGAGCAGCAGTGACTGGAGGTGTGAAGGGAGAGTCTGGAGGGGAGAAGTGGAGCGTGTGCGTTCAGTGAGGAAAGGAGAGAAGGGGGAGAGTGGCAGCAGATGGGAAGGAAGCAAGTAAAGAAGAAACATAGAGATACAGGTCTGAAAGGAAAGGAATCAAAAGCAGCAAGAAAGTACATTAGGAGAGAGTAAGAATGTATGTGCTATGGTAAAAAGCACCTTTTAGTGGAAAATGAAGAAAAACATGCCAAACTGATGAGGAGAAAAAGAAACAAGATAATGAAAGGGGATTTTCAAGCTGAGAGGCTGATGGTGATGGCTATGAAAGAGGCAACAGAGAATGTAACAAAAAAAAAGAACAAGAAAAAAAATCAGATCAGATGGGAAACATGGCACAGAAGTGAAGGACAAAGACTACTACTCAAGTAGTGCAGCCCAGACTTCTAATACTAA